TTACATTTTAAGGGCAAAATTAGCACTGGGTGAACATGGATTTAGCAGTAAAGGGTGAACATTGGACTGGGTGAACATGGATTTAGCAGTAAAGGGTGAACATTGGACTGGGTGAACATGGATTAAGCAGTAAAGGGTGAACATTGGACTGGGCACAGTTTCTCCCAGTATACAGCATCATTTTGTCAAATAGGTGACAGTTACCTAAAACACGTTTGCTGAACAGTTTTTACTCTATTAAAAAAATGAAAGGTTGGCAAGTGTGTGGGGTAAGAATCATTAAATAATTAATTGGTATAAATGCTTCACACCCGAACTCTAAGTCAGTGAGAACCGAACAGTAATCGCCTCTAATGAGGAAAAATTAAACCGCTTGAGAAATTCATTTGAGTTTTATTTAAAACTGTCTTTCTCTGGGAAGGTGTACAGGAATTGCAGAAATAAAATTGTTTGTATTAGAATTGTTTGTATTAGAATTGTTTGTATTTAGTTATGTCAGGTTTGTAGCATTGTGTATGAAAGATATTTAAAATCACATTTATAACTTCCTGTTAGCATAACAATGTAAAAATGACGGGAATATTTGTCATAGTCTCCCTGTCTAACTATATCTTTGGTTTGTAAGGCAAATAAAGCAAATCCAATCTATTGCGATGGCCCCTTTCATCAGAGTCGGAGAAAGGAATCTGGAATAAAGGAATGCCTCGCAGAATGGAATGTCTCTGAAAGTAATTTCGCTAGAACAACGGAATAAGGTGGTGGACAAAGGCTTTGTGGTTTGGAGTTGATGTCGCGAGGAGGACGACGAGTCATGTGTACTGCTAATCAGAGTCACCAATGACATGAATTAAAGTTCATGTCAGATCACCAATTTACAAGTCTCATTTGCATTTTTGTGGTTCTGATGGCTATTTATGCACAGAACATTCACAATGCTTGCATATATCACACATTTCGAGTTCTGCTGGTCAGTGCATCTAAACGAGACCTTTTTAAATTTCATCTTTCTAAGGAAAAAAATTCTTTTGTCTGTCTAAATGTCTTGTCTAGACAAAACATTTTAAATTTCTGTCTCTGCCTAAACAAGTAATTGTCTATTTGTCTGTCACTCTGTCTCTGCCTAAACAAATAATGGTCTATTTGTCTGTCACTCTGTCTCTCTATCAGTCACTCTCTCTAAACTAAACTCTCAGTTTGTCCGTCTGTCTCTGTCATTCTGTCACTCTTTCTAAACAGCACACAGTCTGTTGGTTTTAGTTTTTATTTCTCATTCCTTGAAGATTGATTAAAAGCCTTCACATTCTGTATAATGTTAATTCTGTTTTGTCAAATATTTTCATTATTTATTTCCGGCAAGATATGATAAATGAAAGATTGGTTTCTGTCTTTTTGTGAAACTTTCAGGAAATGTACGTCCTTCAATTAAGCTGCAAGATATTTGACTGAGTTTGAATGTGTGTGTGACGCTGGTCTGGTCTCCAGCCGAATGTGTGTGTGAAGCTGGTCTGGTCTCCAGCCGAATGTGTGTGACGCTGGTCTGCTCTCCAGCCAAATGTGTGTGTGATGCTGGTCTGCTCTCCAGCCGAATGTGTGTGTGATGCTGGTCTGGTCTCCAGCCGAATGTGTGTGACGCTGGTCGGGTCTCCAGCCGAATGTGTGTGTGACGCTGGTCTGGTCTCCAGCCGAATGTGTGTGTGAAGCTGGTCTGGTCTCCAGCCGAATGTGCCATCCAATCTAAATACGTCTGGTGACGGGAATTGTGTTAGATTGTGGAAATACATTTTTGTATATTGTATAACTCTGTTTGATTTCATTCTGTCCAAGAAGATGTGTTAGCAGACATCGTAAGATTATAAACACAGTCTTTTTTAAAATTTACGCAAAATATAAGCAAAATGATATTTTGTTTTCCTCTGATTTGTGTTGGTACCCTGCTATAAGAGCTGTGAGCTACAGGGCTAGCGGTAGAACGGATGTGGAAGAATTTCACTATAGGTCTCCTGAGGGATTTTAATCATCTCCTGATTTTGTGAGTCATTTGTGTGGGTCACTGTAATAAAATAGTAATGGAAGCCCCTTGAGGTATCATTGTCAAAGACTGGTACATTTCCTTGATGGGCAAAGCAGGCAGAGTGGTGAGGGCAGAATTTGCTCCTGGTTTTGAATTATAAATGTTTCGATTTTAATATCACCAGAATGAAGCATTTCTAGGCTATTCTAGTAGCGTACTTTAACGAGGTCAAGATTCTTTGCCAATTTTTATGTGCGAGTGCACATATAAATTTCAACTAACAAGATTAAGGGGGGGGAGGGGGGGGGGGGAGCTATTAAAACAAAGTTGCCAGATGTTCATAATGGAAATTTAAATAAATGAAAATGGGAAATATCGGGCTACAATTTGATAGCTGGTGTCATCAAGTGAGTATGCTGGAGGGTTGTGAGCTGGCCCCTACAGGAGTCAGTTTTTATCACCCTTTTGTGGTGTAGGGTAGTCCGCGGGGCTTTCATGATCAGGGCTGACTGTTGCTGCAGATTCCAGTGGAGAGTTCTAGATGGTTTGTCGCACATCAATTTCACTCCTTGATTGCTTTCTATAATCGTGATTCAAGACTTATTGAGATTCAGATTTGATTATGGATCTTGATTGAAGACATCGTAGACTTGTCAGAAAAAAAAGTCACTTTTTTGGCTGCGACCCTTTGTTATGATTCAGATTGTGTCGGCGATATTCTCCAATATGATAAATGGATTTTTTATTGAATTAGGTCATTGTTATCAAAATGACGACTTTAGCGGGGAAACCGATTCTGTCTTGGTCTGCACTACTCCAAATTAATGTTGATGATGTCATCTGCACACATCCGCCATATATGATTGAATTGAATTATTTTGTCCAGACTTTTGAGAAAATATCCATTTGTATACCATTTCCGAACCAGCTGTGATTTGTCTGCCTGCAAATTGCACCATTTAAAAAAGTTCATTACTTCTAGAAAACTGTTTTCTTGTAATCAGTTAATTAAGTGAAGTGCAAGTTTATACTTTTTGAGGAGAAGCAAGTCTGTAATGACGCATAAAATATTTTAAGCATTGATTGATGTGCCGTCAAGTTCAATGATGAAATGTAACCTGGACAAGACATTTCTCTTCAGAGGAAATTTTGCCAGTTTAAGATTGGCTTTTGCCAATTGTTGAACTGTCTCATTCTTTGAAAATGCAGTTAACTTGGAATGAAGATCCTTACGTAGCTATGTACCTGATATGTGCCGTAAGTGTCAATCAAATGAGATTGTACCCAGTAACACTCGTGCTAATTAAGTCTGGTCCATGTGGAGGCCTCCAGCCAATCTACCTCCTTTCATATAGACTTTTGAAAATACTTCCAGAGGAAATTTTGACAGATATGAAGCAGCTGTTGATAAGTATAAAAGGACAGTGTTGTATATATTTACCAAAATCTCTACTGTCATCAAGGATGCTGCTGCTATAACAAAATTTAACTCATTCACCCCTGAAATATAATGAACTAGTCAAGCATTTCAATTGGAATAGTTCACATGTGTCTTCAGAGGTGAATGAATTCACTTCAACATAAGAAAGAATCTTAAACAATTCTGAAAAGAAACTAATAAGGAAACAATGTGTAAACTGTCACCTGAAGAAGATAGGGTCTCTACAATGACGAAGATAGGGTCTCTACAATGACAAAGATAGGGTCTCTTCAATGACAAAGATAGGGGCAACAAAGGGTCTCTACAATGAAGAAGATAGGGTCTCTACAATGACGAAGATAGGGTCTCTACAATGACGAAGATAGGGTCTCTACAATGATGAAAATCAAACTAATGTTGGAATCTGAAACGTTACAAGTTCTACCATAGTGATAGAATGTTGCTGTTCATTTTTCCTGCATCTTGACAAGTGGTTTCCACAAACACATAACCTTCAGCCTGCCTGCTACAATTAGGCCATGGAGACAATAAATGTCAGATGCGGGGGAAATATATGGTGGCACAAACGTAATACTTAACTTTATTAAACAAGAGAGAATTATAGTAATTTATCTTTTGGGATGAAGACGGTTGGATTATTATAGCCTCCTGTCTCCGGTGGCAGAGAAATATCTCTGTGAGATGGGGGAGGGTGCCAGGACTAACAATTTGTAGCGTTATAATAATAATAGGCTTCTTGAAATTCAATCTTGAGATAATGACAACAAATTGAACAGTGTGAATTGATTGGATAAGGAACTTGTTGTAATGTATTATAATATTGAACAAGGAAAACCCGTATATATTCCCTCCCAAACAGTATTATCACTGGAACTAGTGGGAACTGTGCGTGAGCGTCTGTGTGGAAATGTAATCCTATTTGATATTGTAAAGTGTCTTTGTTTAGTGAGATAATTGTTTTATTTGTAACAAGGTATTGCCATTCTCAGAATGCTAATTTATGAGGTATTTAGTCAAATGTAGGACGATGTGAATAAACATCTGCCTGTTTTTATGATGTACCATATTCATCCTGCAATGAGCCCTTGCCTGGTAATAAGCCCACCCTCATATCTATTGCAGTTTAGTAGAAATGAACAAAAACCTACCCACCTACTTTGAATACAATGAAAAACTCAAGTTGTTTCCTATCAGATAAAATTTTGATGGAAGAAGTTTCAGTGAGTTTGATAAAATTCAGATAGAATACGAACTAATAAGAGATTCTATTTATCATTCATCATTAAGTCCTACAAAGCATGGGCAATTACACTGGAAATAAATCAGAGGAGACAGTTTTGTCTTTTCCATGATTTTGTTTTGTCATGATTGTTTTTTGTGACATTTTGGGTAATTTTAATATTGGTATATCAAATTAGTATTGATTGATTGCATTCACACACATAAGCTTAGTATGTGATACAGTAGTATAAGGCTACGTCATTAAACACGTCAGTAAACACGTCATTAAACACGTCCTTTCATGGTCTTTATATTTATGTGTTGTAGAACAAGTCAGACAATGCTATACAAGATGGCGACAGACGAGACCGACGGGCCGAGCTTCAGAGGACCGGGTCTGGGAACAAAGTACCAGTGGGCAAAACACCCTCCAACTCCTCTGCTCCTGGTGCTCTCGGAGGTAAGGATTTACAGGAACCTGTAGTTAGTGACCTCATTCTGGAAGTCTGGTGCTCTCTGAGGTAAGGATTAACAGGAACCTGTAGTTAGTGACCTCATTCTGGAAGTCTGGTGCTCTCGAAGGTAAGGATTAACAGGAACATGTAGTTAGTGACCTCATTCTGGAAGTCTGGTGCTCTCGGAGGTAAGGATATACAGGAGCCTGTAGTTAGTGACCTCATTCTGGAAGTCTGGTGCTCTCTGAGGTAAGGATTAACAGGAAGCTGTAGTTAGTGACCTCATTCTGGAAGTCTGGTGCTCTCGTAGGTAAGGATATACAGGAACCTGTAGTTAGTGACCTCTTTCTGGAAGTCTGGTGCTCTCGGAGGTAAGGATTAACAGGAACATGTAGTTAGTGACCTCATTCTGTAAGTCTGGTGCTCTCGGAGGTAAGGATATACAGGAGCCTGTAGTTAGTGACCTCATTCTGGAAGTCTGGTCCTCTCGGAGGTAAGGATAAACAGGAACCTGTAGTTAGTTACGTCATTCTGGAAGTCCGGTGCTCTCGGAGGTAAGGATATACTGGAACCTGTAGTTAGTGACCTCATTCTGGAAGTCCGGTGCTCTCGGAGGTAAGGATATACAGGAACCTGTAGTTAATGACCTCATTCTGGATGTCTGGTGCTCTCGCAGGTAAGGATAAACAGGAACCTGTAGTTAGTTACGTCATTCTGGAAGTCCGGTGCTCTCGGAGGTAAGGATATACAGGAACCTGTATTTAGTGACCTCATTCTGGAAGTCTGGTGCTCTCGGGGGTAAGGATAAACAGGAACCTGTAGTTAGTGACCTCTTTCTGGAAGTCTGGTGCTCTCGGACGTAAGGATAGACAGGAACCTGTAGTTAATGACCTCATTCTGGAAGTCTGGTGCTCTCGGAGGTAAGGATAAACAGGAACCTGTAGTTAGTTACCTCATTCTGGAAGTCCGGTGCTCTCGGAGGTAAGGATATACAGGAACCTGTAGTTAGTGACCTCTTTCTGGAAGTCTGGTGCTCTCGGAGGCAAGGATAAACAGGAACCTGCAGTTTGTGACCTCATTCTGGAAGTCCGGTGCTCTCGGAGGTAAGGATATAAAGGAACCTGTAGTTAGTGACCTCATTCTGGAAGTCTGGTGCTCTCGGAGGTAAGGATAAACAGGAACATGTAGTTAGTGACCTCATTCTGGAAGTCTGTTAGGTTGTCTCTTATCCCTTCATACAAGTTCACTGTTACCATGAAAAAACTGCAGTGAGAATTTAAAAAAATTAATTTGAACACAGATGGTTTCTTAACTTATTCACCCCTAAAGTCACATTTGAGCCTTACCAAATCAATGACTGGGTAAGTCCACTTTAGATATGTAGGGGTGAATGAGTTAATACAAGACTTTTAAGTTCAGTAAGCATGAAAAAACTGCAATATAAGTTCTATAAGTGGTCTCTTAACACAAGTGGTCACAGCAGTAGAGGTGGTCTCTTAACACAAGTGGTCACAGCAGTAAACGTGGTCTCTTAACACAAGTGGTCACAGCAGTAGAGGTGGTCTCTTAACAAAAGTGGTCACAGCAGTAGAGGTGGGCTATTGAGCAGGTTAAACTGTCGTTGTCAATCTGTGTTCTAGAGATAAATGTTTTGGAGGTAAGAACATGTCACATAAGTTTTATTCCTGTTTTGTTGGTTTTATAATTTTGCATTAAATAATCACTGAAAATATGAAGAAAGAAAGCACCTTTTTCGAAAAATGTGTTTATACCTATAGATGTAGTAAGTCAAACACCGTAAACTTTTTACTGCTCCATATCACCATTCTGTCCATTTAGGACACATTTGTGGTACTAAAGGTCAAAATATTATAAATGCATGTAACTCACTCACCCCTGAAGGCACATTTCAACTCTAAGTTCATTATGAAATTTCAGGGGTGAATGAGTTAATGTGTTTTAAAACATACAGAGAATACAATGAAAAGGGAAAGGTGCCCGTATATGTTACAAATATGAAACTTTAGGCTACAGCAGATAATTTATACCTATCTAGTATTTCTTGTAAATTATGGAAGAATACATTTCAGTTACACGGCTACAGCTCACATCAGAGACTGGAAAAAGCCTTCTTTGATTGATCAGCACCTTACATTTTGGAATCACTGGTACAATAGGAATAGCTCATGATATTATATACTGTGAAATCAGATATTTTGGTGAGGCCCATATTTTGTGGTTTCCCAACAAAACATCATTTTGTGGGTACATGAAATCGTGGATTACGAGTACCCACTCAAACAGAGAATTACTTTATATCAAACTTCTAATTACTTTGTGAACAAACGAGTTCGTGGATGAAGATTACCCACGAAATCAATGAAATTAAAACCCTACGAAAATGAGTGATTACATGTACAGTACCGTCAGAAAAGTTAACATGTTATAACATTTCACCGTACAAACTGCTTTGTTCTGTTTGACAGCCATCCAGTCTCCACGACACAGTGCTAGTAGTGGGGTGTTACCCGATCTACTCCCTCCCCACACGCCGCCACAGTCGCGATCCCCACCCACGCCCCAGAGACCGCAGGACAAGACCACGTCTGACGAGGTACAACTCGCAAATCCCGTAAGACACACGACAGGGTTATCAAGGACCTAGACATCATATACACAGAGCTAGCCTATCATTGCCTACAAGCCTATCATTGCCTACAAGCCTATCATAGCCTTCAACTGCTTTAATGCTTAACAGTCATACTTCATACTCCGTGTTTTATCTGTGTTTGCTGATTGGTCTGATCATCCAATACCATATTGGAGGCTCAAACTATGTATTTCTTTTTCAACATCTGATAATTTGCATGCTACTTCATCCATCAGAACTATATTTCTTCCCTAACCACTCTTAGTTTCCCCTGCACGACTCCTTGGGTAAACCTAGGAGTGGGTAAACATTTGTGGATACCCACTAGTGGGTAACACCCTGGAGGTGATTTCATTGATCAATCTTTGATGTATGACATCACATTGCTTTGCTTTGTGCCATGATGATCCATGACAATTGTTTCCCCCATTGGAAACAGATAGAATGTATTTTCGAAGAGAAACATGACATTTTCAAGACAAAACACAAATGTTATGGGAGAAACAGGTCCCAGATCACGTGACGGTTGGTTATCATGTTTATCTAACTCTCATTAGGTATTTTTAAGTTGTAAAAGACGCTCTGTAAATCTCAACTCTTTTTCAATTTATAAATTAACTAACTCGAGTTAGATGAACATTGATAACCAGCCATCACTCGTTGGGGAACCTCTATTTAACAGATTTATCACTCTTTTCACTCTCAGGCAGCACAGGGCTGTCATTGATATACCGTACTCGTAAACATCAGTCTGCAGCTTTATTTATTATCTTTTAGTTCCAATTCATCTGAAGTGAAATGATGTGTTTAATATTTCATTGAAATGTTTAACAAATTTCTTTTAGTTTTACATCAATTTTGAACTGTTAATGGTACAGTTGTGTTTGTGAGTTTTATTTTCATACTAACTCCACATTCATTAATAAACTGTCATAAGTATGAAGATCATTTTGGTATCCTTAAGTTAATATGAATATTTCAATATATAAGTAATAATCGATTAACAAAAAATAATGAAAATGAAAATTGAAACCAAATATCAGTAAAAGAAAAACTGAGGAAATTCAGAAATGAAGTCCGAAAAGAATGACGTCTTTTTCTTGACAATTGTTGGATGATGATTTAACTCATTCACCCCTGAAATTTCATAATGAACTATTCCAATCTTTGAATTGGAAGGGTTCAAATGTGTCTTGAGGGGTGAATGATTGAATGACGGAGGTGTGTCTTTTCTCTTACCAGTATCGACAGGCAGTAAGTAGTGTGGTCACACCATCAATGCGACACCAGAGGTCGTTTTCAGCATTTGGTTTTGGAGCTGAGGGATCGACAATCGGTTCCATCTCCCAACAGTCACGGAGAGGCTCACAAATCAACGTCAATGTGACCCCCTCACAAACCACCACAGAGGCGATCGGGGACACGCCAGAAATCAGAAAATATAAGAAAAAATTCAACTCTGACATTTTGTGTGCAGCTTTATGGGGTAAATATATAAAAGTTTATTTTTTAAACCAATTTGAGTCGAGTGTTTTTGGTTAAATTACAGTTTTGATAGTTTGTACAAATGGATAGAGAACACAGTTTTATCATCATGATCATATTTTTTGTTTGAGTTAAATAGGCTTAGTGTTCAACACATCATGGTCTTCTTACTGTGTTTCATAAACAGAAATCGACACAACTGGCTAACCTGTTAGAGATACAAAGTCCATATGTCTCATTATAATTGAGTTGAGCAGATTGTATTTTGATCAGATAAACCCAGTGATCAGTCTACAATTAGTTTGTATGGGTCTTTTCTCACTGTATGGTTAAAAGATACGGGTCCCACCATGTTAAATTTCAGTATTTACAGAAATTCTATCGGTCAAAATGAAATTCTATGGGAACAGGACCCAGGACTTAATTTATCACTGTAAACCAGGCCTGATATGGTGATCTTCAATGATAATAATAATAATATACAACATTTGATATAGCGCCCTGTCTAGTTAACATAAGCCACTCTAACGCGCTTTTACAGTACATTGATATAAAATTAATACAATACAATTAATACAATTAGGATATACAATTTTTGAGGAATTCTAAGGAGCTGCCTTATCAGGCGCTAACTACTAGTCCTATGACACCTGGCTAATATCTCCCTATGTGTGTATGCCTGCATGTGTGCTGGAGATGTAAATATCCAATATACATTTAAAAATTGGTCAATACTTAAGAACCAGTATGATAATGATAAACTAAGTATTAATCTGGTATTGTGTTTGCTCCAGGGGTCAATCTACTGATCGGGACGGAGAGGGGTCTGATCCAGTATGATAATGATAAACTAAGTATTAATCTGGTATTGTGTTTGCTCCAGGGGTCAATCTACTGATCGGGACGGAGAGTGGTCTGGTCCAGTATGATAATGATAAACTAAGTATTAATCAGGTATTGTGTTTGATCCAGGGGTCAATCTACTGATAGGGACAGAGAGTGGTCTAAACCAGTATGATAATGATAAACTAAGTATTAATCAGGTATTGTGTTTGATCCAGGGGTCAATCTACTGATAGGGACAGAGAGTGGTCTGATCCAGTATGATAATGATAAACTCAGTATTAATCTGGTATTGTGTTTGATCCAGGGGTCAATCTACTGATAGGGACAGAGAGTGGTCTAAACCAGTATGATAATGATAAACTAAGTATTACTCTGGTATTGTGTTTGATCCAGGGGTCAATCGACTGATAGGGACAGAGAGTGGTCTGATCCAGTATGATAATGATAAACTCAGTATTAATCTGGTATTGTGTTTGATCCAGGGGTCAATCGACTGATAGGGACAGAGAGTGGTCTGATCCAGTATGATAATGATAAACTCAGTATTAATCTGGTATTGTGTTTGATCCAGGGGTCAATCTACTGATCGGGACGGAGAGTGGTCTGATCCAGGATGATAATGATAAACTAAGTATGAATCTGGTATTGTGTTTGATCCAGGGGTCAATCGACTGATAGGGACAGAGAGTGGTCTGATCCAGTATGATAATGATAAACTAAGTATTAATCTGGTATTGAGTTTGATCCAGGGTCAATCTACTGATCGGGACGGAGAGTGGTCTGATCCAGTATGATAAGGATAAACTAAGTATTAATCTGGTATTGTGTTTGCTCCAGGGGTCAATCTACTGATCGGGACGGAGAGTGGTCTGAACCAGTATGATAATGATAAACTAACTATTAATCTGGTATTGTGTTTGATCCAGGGGTCAATCTACTGATCGGGACGGAGAGTGGTCTGAACCAGTATGATAATGATAAACTAACTATTAATCTGGTATTGTGTTTGATCCAGGGGTCAATCTACTGATCGGGACGGAGAGTGGTCTGATGCTGCTGGACAGGAGTGGTCAGGGCAAAGGTAACATTATCATTGGTCTTATTACAGAAGACATATATAATATATATTTTACATATTTTGCAAGATTTCTAAGTTTAAATTAAATTAAAAAGATATCTGAGATCCGGGCCTGTATTCATGGATTCTGTTCTCAAACTGATTTACTTATTACTTGGTTAAATCAGGCTATGCGTTCGAAAAGTTATATGAACACTTTGAAATGATGTTCTACTTCAGTCTCCCAAACATTCTTTCAAATCATCAACAAAATGTGAAATTTTATAAAATTATTGAAGAAACAGGAATTGGACTTGAACACAGAATCTCAGTTTGAGCATGAGAATGGTTTCATGAATACGGGCCCAGGACATCAAAAATATTTTTCAAGTCTTGTGGTTTTCTGTGTGTCTATTTCCATAGGACACAACAATACATAACAATCAGAGCACTTGTCAATGTGTTTAATATCAATCTCAAAAAACAATTGTTGGCAAAGAAATAAAGGCATTCACAGCATACTGTATTGATCATTCTTTTTGCCTCCAATAATATTTTTGATTTTGAGAATTGACTCCAAATATTTCCAGAACAAATCACTGCATGAACGTGAAGTAAAGGTTATTAATCAGTTTTGTTGCCTTCACTCGTTTTGATCTGTGCAGACAATTCATAAAAATAGGTATTTGTCAAAGTGAGGTGAGTAACTGTACCTTGTGTTTTGTTCTGACAGTGTACACCCTGATATCTCGGCGCCGGTTCCAACAGATGGAGGTGTTAGAAGGGCAGAACATCCTGGTGACAATCTCCGGAAAAAAGAACAAGATTCGGGTGTTCTACCTGAATTGGTTAAAAAACAAGATCTTCAAGACAGAGGGTGTAAGTGTTGTAGGTATCAATATCATACTCAGCATGCTGCATGTCATAGGCCAGGTGGAATCTCACAGTTCTGTGTCTCAGGGGCCAGACACAACCAAACAGTTCTGTGCATCAGGGCCCAGACACAACCCAACAGTTCTGTGTGTCAGGGGCCAGAAACACCCAAACAGTTCTGTGTGGCGGGGCCCAGACACAACCAAACATTGCTGTGTGTCAGGGGCCAGTCACAACCAAACAGTGCTGTTTGTCAGGGGCCAGAAACATCGAAACAGTTCTGTGTCTCGGGGGCAAGACACAACCAAACAGTTCTGTGCCTCAGGGCCCAGACACAACCAAACAGTTCTGTGTGTCAGGGGCCAGACACAACCAAACAGTGCTGTGTGTCAGGGGCCAGAAACAACCAAACAGTTCTGTGTCTCAGGGGCCAGACACAACCAACCAGTGCTGTGTCTCAGGGGCCAGGCACAACCTCACAGTTCTGTGCCTCAGGCCCCAGACACAACCAAACACTTCTGTGTGTCAGGGGCCAGTCACAACCAAACAGTGCTGTGTTACAGGGGCCAGACACAAACAAACAGTGCTGTGTGTCGGGGGCCAGAAGAAACCTCACAGTTCTGTGTCTCTGGGGCCAGAAACAACCTCACAGTTCTGTGTCTCGGGGGCCAGACACAACCAAACAGTTCTGTGCCGCAGGGCCCAGACACAACCAAACAGTGCTGTGTGTCAGGGGCCAGACACAACCAAACAGTTCTGTGTCTCAGGGGCCAGAAACAACCAAACAGTTCTGTGCCTCAGGGCCCAGACACCACCAAACAGTGCTGTGTGTCAGGGGCCAGACACAACCACACAGTTCTGTGTCTCTGGGGCCAGAAACAACCTCACAGTTCTGTGTCTCTGGGGCCAGAAACAACCTAACAGTTCTGTGTCTCAGGGGCCAGACACAACCAAACAGTTCTGTGTCTCAGGGGCCAGAAACAACCAAACAGTTCTGTGCCTCAGGGCCCAGACACAACCAAACAGTGCTGTGTGTCAGGGGCCAGACACAACCTCACAGTTCGGTGTCTCAGGGGCCAGACACAACCAAACAGTTCTGTGTCTCAGGGGCCAGAAACAACCTTACAGTTCTGTGTCTCAGGGGCCAGACACAACCTAACAGTAATCTATGATAAACTGTTATTATTCTGTAGGGAGTTATTTTTGCATGCCAAATCTTTCTTTTGTATAACTTGATCTTGACCAAAATTTACTAACCTATTTAACTTTTCTCATGGTGGAAGAAAATTAAATTCCAAAGTATTGATAGAAGAAATTTGGAAAAACGACTCGAATTATTGATTTTCTGCAGTGACGGAGTGAATTATTGATTTTCTGCAGTGACGGAGTGAATTATTGATTTTCTGCAGTAACGGAGTGATTTATTGATTTTGATGGCAGGCTATAAATACTGATAAATGATTTAAAATTGAAACATTTTACTTTGATTTATTTGACATAAAAATAGTTTTGGATGTTGATAGATGTTCTAGAATTGGAATAGTTGTAATTTGTTATTTTTCGTGACCTGAGATTGCAGTAAAAGAGTCAGGATTGATGTATGTGTATCAGCACACTGGGACCTAGCCTATACATCACACAGTGCAATTATACCCAGTAGAAATGTATACCTCCACACGGATTCACAAAACTTGACACAACATGTATTTTAGCTGGGCTGGGATTGGCAAGATTGATAATCTCATATAACTGCGTTTATTGTGAAATAATTACGGATCCGATGCTCTAAGTTAAACAGAGTTGTGTCGTAATGATTGAGACAACCCCGGAATGATCCCTGGGGAAAATAGTCATGTACTTTTGTTTAGATTAAATTCTGGTAGAGGATCGGCTAATATGAATTAACTGCTGTTCCAAGTATCATTATAATGATAAAGCTCTTTTGTTTCTCAAGCACATAAGAGTTATTTCCCTTGAATCAATTTTCCCAACCATTTGGGACTAATGACATCTTTATCTGATTTTTTCTTTTTAACTGTATTTCTCATAATTTGTTTCATTTCTCCTGTGTAATAAACAATGGTATGAATAATGAACTTATTATTTACAAGGTGTGGTATGCAAGCTGTGTTTCCATTAATTGTAAGAATGACATCAAGTTTAGTAACATTAAATTCCATTCTAACATCATGATTGCCTCCCAGTTATAAACCAGAATCATTGCTTTTCCTGATATTATTTGAATATTTTGGTAGAAATGGATTCCCAAACTTGTTCTTGATGTTTTAGTTATCATGTTTTACTTGATAGACATGATTACCTACCACATCTACACAGACCCTCTGTTGATTAGGTGGACAAGTTTTATCAATGTTTTAGTTATCATGGTAAACTTGATAGACATGATTATCTATCATATCTACACAGACCCTCTGTTGATGAGGTGGACAAGTTTTATCAATGTTTTAGTTATCATGTTTTACTTGATAAACATGATTACCTATCACATCTACACAGACCCTCTGTTGATTAGGTGGACAAGTTTTATCAATGTTTTAGTTATCATGGTTAACTTGATAGACATGATTACCAATCACATCTACACAGACCCTCTGTTGATTAGGTGGACAAGTTTTATCAATGTTTTAGTTATCATGTTTTACTTGATAAACATGATTACCTATCACATCTACACAGACCCTCTGTTGATTAGGTGGACAAGTTTTATCAATGTTTTAGTTATCATGGTTAACTTGATAGACATGATTACCAATCACATCTACACAGACCCTCTGTTGATTAGGTGGACAAGTTTTATCAATGTTTTAGTTATCATGTTTTACTTGATAAACATGATTACCTATCACATCTACACAGACCCTCTGTTGATTAGGTGGACAAGTTTTATCAATGTTTTAGTTATCATGGTTAACTTGATAGACATGATTATCTATCATATCTACACAGACCCTCTGTTGATTAGGTGGACAAGTTTTATCAATGTTTTAGTTATCATGTTTTACTTGATAAACAAGTTTTATCAATGTTTTAGTCGTAGTTACAATTGTTGAAGTAGACAAGTCACAAATGTTTTCTTTTCTTTATAGAACGACAAGCGGAGTGGTTTTGTCAATGTTGGAGACCTAGAAGGCTGTGTCCACTTCAAAATAGGTAAGATTTAACAGTATTAAAGGATAACTCTAGCAGATTTACCAGTGTTGTTGTGTTACTCGAATGAAACAGTGCATTTCTCTTAATATCAAGAGGCATTGGCAGAGAACAGTGATATTAAAAAGAAATTCTAACACCATGTATGAATGTTACATTAAAGATATTCTTTCCTATGAATAGCAAAACTTGCTTAGTAAAGATATTTTCTACAATTATTTAACATTAACTCATTCACCCCTGAAATTTCATATTGAACTATTCCAACCTTTGAGTTAGAAGAGTTCAAGTGTGTCTTTAGGAGTGAATGAGTTAAACCTGTTTAAAAAAGTCTTTGTTTTCATAGATTTATACTTGTAAAGATAAATTGTACAATGTCATGTTATAGTTTAGGAATGTCATGTTATAGTTTAGGAAAATCGGTATGGAATATGATATCAAGAGATGTCGTGTCATATCACTTGATAATAAACAAACTAATAGAATGTGATATTAAGAGGATTTCATGTCAAATCACATGCTATTAAACAAACTAGTAGAACATGATATTTAAGAGTTCATGTCAAATCACATGATATTAAACAAACTAGTAGAACATGATATTTAAGAGTTCATGTCAAATCACATGATATTAAACAAACCAATAGAATGAGATATTATGGGGAGTAATATGATAAATAGTTAAGGAAGCTAAATGGAATGTATTAATGGTGTTTAGAAAAAGTTTAAATTAAACTGAAATGTGATGTTAACAATGAATGTATTGGTTTCCACTGTACAAGTAAATACTTATAAATCTGCTTCTCACTATTCTCACAGTTCTAATGGGCATTACTCAATCTCTCTTCAACGATAAGTTATCTGTATGAGTTATCAGGATACTTTGTTTTCCTTTTCAGTGAAATATGAGAAAATAAAGTTCCTTGTAATAGCCCTCCAGGAGAGCATAGAGATATACGCCTGGGCACCAAAGCCCTACCACAAGTTTATGGCGTTTAAGGTGAGCTGTTGAATCACTGCTTCAAAACATAGAACTCTTTTTGATTTTCCGACAAATTTTCTCCTTACAATTGTCTTTTCCCCCCAATACATCTAGAACGATAAGATGAGTCGATATCAAGTCATTCACCCCTGAAATTTCATAATGAATTATCCCAACCTTTGAATTGGAAGAGTTCAAATGCGTCTTCAGGGTCATGTGAGTTAATGTTCAGAACTGACAAATAAGATCAAAATCAATTAAGAACGATTTGTGTTTTTAGTCTTTCAGTGATCTAGTCCACCGGCCCCTACTGGTAGATCTGACTGTCGAGGAAGGTCAGAGGTTAAAGGTCCTTTATGGGTCAAATTCCGGGTTCCACGCCATCGACGTCGATACCACTTCCTCCTTCGATCTATACATTCCTTCCCATGTAAGTATTAGTGGTTGGACCTCCCACTCGTCCAGACAATATTTACTGATATTGCCTGTTTTCTTGGTGTTTTAGTGTTACACATGTTTATCAACTTTTGCTGTTGAGTAGGAGAAGTAAGATTTCATACCATATTTGGCCGCAAATGAGCCCATTCTTCTTGAGAGAAAAAAAATGACCAAAAGTGTTAGAGTTGACCCCATCTTCTTAAGCATTCAACTTGATGTCGCCCGTCTTAAATATTCCCTGCGTGGATCTATGATGTGAAGTGCAGGGGGCCTAATTGTAAGCACCTACCCTGAAGTGTGGAGGGAGTTTCTGTGCAGGCGGTCTAATTGTAAGCACCTACCCTAAAGTGTGGAAGGGGTTTCTGTGCAGGGGGCCTAATTGTAAGCACCTACCCTAAAGTTGTAGGGGGTTTCTGTGCAGGGGGCCTAATTGTAAGCACCTACTCTAAAGTGTGGAGGGGGTTTCTGTGCAAGGGGCCTAATTGTAAGCCCCTACCCTAAAGTTGGAGGGGGTTTCTGTGCAGGGGGCCTAATTGTAAGCACATACCCTAAAGTGTGGAGGGGGTTTCTGTGCAGGGGGCCTAATTGAAAGCACCTACCCTAAGGTGTGGAGGGGGTTTCTGTGCAGGGGGCCTAATTGAAAGCACCTCCCCTAAAGTGTGGAGGGGGTTTCTGTGCAGGGGCCTAATTGAAAGCACCTACCCTAAAGTTGGAGGGGGTTTCTGTGCAAGGGGCCTGATTGTAAGCACCTACCCTAAAGTTGGAGGGGGTATCTGTGCAGGGGGCCTAATTGTAAGCACCTACCATAAAGTGTGGAGGGGGTTTCTGTGCAAGGGGCCTAATTGAAAGCACCTACCCTAAAGTGTGGGGGGGGTCTCTGTGCAGGGGGCCTAATTGAAAGCCCCTTCCCTAAAGTGTGGAGGGGGTTTCTGTGCAGGGGTCCTAATTGTAAGCCCCTACCCTAAAGTGTGGAGGGGGTTTCTGTGCAGGGGGCCTAATTGAAAGCACCTCCCCTAAAGTGTGGAGGGGGTTTCTGTGCAGGGGTCCTAATTGTAAGCCCCTACCCTAAAGTGTGGAGGGGGTTTCTGTGCAAGGGGCCTAATTGTAAGCCCCTACCCTAAAGTTGGAGGGGGTTTCTGTGCAGGGGGCCTAATTGTAAGCCCCTACTCTAAAGTGTGGAGGGGGTTTCTGTGCAAGGGGCCTAATTGTAAGCCCCTACCCTAAAGTTGGAGGGGGTTTCTGTGCAGGGGGCCTAATTGTAAGCCCCTACTCTAAAGTGTGGAGGGGGTTTCTGTGCAGGGGGCCTAATTGAAAGCACCTCCCCTAAAGTGTGGAGGGGGTTTCTGTGCAGGGGTCCTAATTGTAAGCCCCTACCCTAAAGTGTGGAGGGGGTTTCTGTGCAGGGGTCCTAATTGTAAGCCCCTACCCTAAAGTGTGGAGGGGGTTTCTGTGCAGGGGGCCTAATTGAAAGCACCTCCCCTAAAGTGTGGAGGGGGTTTCTGTGCAGGGGGCCTAATTGTAAGCCCCTACTCTAAAGTGTGGAGGGGGTTTCTGTGCAAGGGGTCTAATTGTAAGCACCTACCCTAAAGTTGGAGGGGGTTTCTGTGCAAGGGGCCTCATTGTAAGCACCTACCCTAAAGTGTGGAGGGGGTCTCTGTGCAGGGGGCCTAATTGAAAGCCCCTTCCCTAAAGTGTGGAGGGGGTTTCTGTGCAGGGGGCCTAATTGTAAGCACATACCCTAAAGTGTGGAGGGGGTTTCTGTGCAGGGTCCTAATTGAAAGCACCTACCCTAAAGTTGGAGGGGGTTTCTGTGCAAGGGGCCTCATTGAAAGCACCTACCCTAAAGTGTGGAGGGGGTCTCTGTGCAGGGGGCCTAATTGAAAGCACCTACCCTAAAGTGTGGAGGGGGTGTCTGTGCAGGGGGCCTAATTGTAAGCACCTACCCTAAAGTTGGAGGGGGTTTCTGTGCAAGGGTGGGCTTATTGGTGGTCAAATACGGTGTCAAGTTTACGAATAACATACTTTCAGAAAATGAGGTCAAATCCATATGCACCCTTTCTGTACTGATGTCTTTGGAGCATATACTCAAGTTATCATTAAAATGTGTCATTGCCATCATAAAGCACTCTGCCATGCTCGATACTCCTGGGGTTACGTTCTCTGCACCCCTGGGCTATATGGTAGTAAAATGGAAGGCACGCAGCTAGCTATTTGATTGCAATGGTCTTGGGTAAACAAACTTAAACCATCTCTCAACAGAAACCTGTCATTTGAAGATTACAGAAGGAGCGATTAACTTAAAAGCCAGTCAATTTATCGTTACGCAATGACAGGTTTTTTTGCTGTACACCAAAGGATAAAACTAGTCTTCTTGTCTTACCCACGCGGTGGTACACACCGACCCTTCAATTTGGCTGTGATATATTCCAGGGGTGCAGAGAGCGTAACTGAACGTAACCCCTGGAGTATCGAGGATGGCGCTCTGGGCACTAGAGAGCCTGCCGTGTCTCGACACAACATGGGGTCAACACTACATGTACAGAAACGGTGGTTTATTATGGAATTGGCCAAAATAGAAAGTTACTAATGATTTGGGAAATTAATGTTAGCACTTCCTCCCAATGGAACTTTGTTGTGGTCCCTATTGTTATTGTCCTTCTCAGCTCTACAGTGTCGACAGTGGTTTGTACACAGATATCATCACTACCGTATATATCCTACAAAACGCCCAGGAAGGTAACACAATTTCTCTCTCAACATAAGGGGTGGGATTACATCAGGACAATAAAATAGTCTAAATGTGTTCATTTCTACTGAACGGTAATAGACGTGGACAGGCTTATTACCAGACTGGGCTCATTGTTAGATTAATACGGTACCATCTAACCATGTTAAGTGGAATAAATACGATCACCTGGCTCATTGTTAGATTAATACGGTACCATCTAATCATGTTAAGTGGAATAAATACGATCACTGGGCTCATTGTTAGATTAATACGGTACCATCTAATCATGTTAAGTGGAATAAATACGGTCACTCAGTTTGTACTTTAATATCTTACAATGATTTATTTTGCATATTTAACCCTTTCAAAATTCAAAAAAGAAATGTGGAAGGTCCAGTTTTTGGTTCCTAATTGAAAAGTAACAGGCTTTTTTAGAAAAGAAAGTTAAACAAATCTAAACAAATTACTGGATCTTCACCTAAACAAATAACTGGATCTTCACCTAAACAAATTACTGGATCTTCACCTAAATAAATTACTGGATCTTCACCTAAAAATCTCTTAACTTTAAAGTCTATGGTAAGGTCTGTTAGTTGAAAAGACACATGTGGTGGTTTTCAAGTTCTTCTCCAGGAGAACCCTATAGACAGCAGAACTCTCGACATTGTAAGGCTGAGAAGCCAATTCCTCGTATTGATGTTGTAGGGATGTTGCGGAGACGTAGCTATTTACCACTACAAGGTTTTAATATAGAGATATGAATGTTTGTTAAAAGATCCCTGCAGTGGACAATCTTGTTTTGGGAGAGGAGTTAGGGTGGGATTGATACATTGAATGGACATTGCAGTCTGATTAACCCTAATATTTCCAACAGTCTAAGAAAAAACTGTCACTATTGTATAAAGACACTCGGTTTGGAAGAAGATTTGATAAGGTTTGTTTTGATGGCATCCAAATGATATTGTTTTATAAGGATGAATTTTGACGAGTTGTTTATGATTTATCTTCCCTATAGTTTTGCCATAACAATGACAGCACTCCACAAACTGGTATAACATTCTATCTTAGCCAGGTAAACAGCTAATAGGGCCCTCTCTTGCTTGCTACTCTTTGGTTTTCTCTGGGAATTTAAAACTTGATTATGAAAATGAGGTACACTTTGATATTTCTATTTTGTGTAGCTATAAAGATTATCATAATAATACTTTGGCTGTACATTTTGTGATAAAAGATTTCGATTTTATTTTCATGTTATAGGGTGTATTTGAAAGTTCTTCTCAACAAATTTTGCAAAGATGACAGCTTGTGGTATTAACAAAGTTTTAATCCCTGTTAACAAAATGTTATAATCCCCCACTTTCTGGTATCATTTTCATACGCAAGTTTTAAGGCTGAATCTATACACAGATTTGGATTGAGTTATGTACTTTTAGTTTCAGTATAAATCTGATCAACAAAGTGATTTAAGCTGTCACTTGTCTGTTAGAAATATTCATCTTTTTTTTTTACCTTACTCTGTATCACTGGTAGACTAGCTTACACCAGTAAAATTATCCATGTTTCCCGGAGCTTATTATTGGGTTGAAATATGGGACCCATTTCTCAGTGACATTTAGTCAGTTTTCTTCTTAATTTGAAAAAGAGAAATTCAAAAATCAGGTATGTTTTTGTTTTCTTCCTTTTGGTGCCCGTCATTTCAGGGGATGGTGGAGGCACACAGTGCTATTTATGTCCGCCCCGTTTAGTCTCATCAACCAACTCAATGACATCAATCTAACAATTGTTGTCTTAAACTTTTATAGTCCAACTTTATACAAGGGTTGAGCATAAAAACAAGTTTGTAGTACAGTGTTCCAATGTCAAGGCCAAGGTCACCGTTACCATTTATAGAAATTTAGCTTTACAACAGCTTTGGAAGCAATACAGCTGTTTGTGTTAAGTAGGGAAGGTTGTAATGCAGCGAGGGGAAAAGGGGGAAGTGTATTTTCACAGGGTCATTAATCTGATGTTTGTGTATTTTATATACGTTCAAAAGCCACTGTTTGTTTTGTATTGCGTGATTTTTACCTGTACTTTTTACTTGTATTTTTTATTCATAATTTTTAGTTGGGTTTTCAATGCAGCACTTTTCTAAAAAGCCTGAACAGTCAACATTTTATCATCTAGAATATTTTAGAATTGTAGAAAATGTATTAAGGTATTCTGCAATTCTTAACTTCACCTACATTAAGGTGTTGAATTTAAGTGAAAACAAACAACATAACAGACAGTCTTATTTGGAAACACAACGAGGCAACAAAATAAGAGTTTAGTTCAGAAAGCTGTGACCTTTTAGGCTCTGGAAATGTGTCCATGCATCTTACTGATCTCATTTTTGTAGATATGATCCCATTTAAGCATGCATCACTTAATTTGGGCCAACATGTTTAATTTTCCATTTTCAGAATGGAGCTAAGCATGAGGAATTTTGTTTTTAATTTGCTTTGGGTGCAATTTTCACAAAACACAAAAATTCTCAATTATTATTTTACGAAGTAATTAAATGAAGTTGGATGAAAAGAAACCTCCTCTAGGAAAAAATGATATTTTGAAATGATCTTTTATTGAATTTCAACAATTTTGTCTAAATCTGGAGTAAAATATAAACCAAAGTTGACCTGGTTATGCATTTCGTTCATGCATCTTGAGCTCTGTTTTTTGACGGAGTAAATTAAGATATTTAGTTTAACGTTGATGTGTTTGTACTTCTGTAGTAAGGTTGTCCTTCTGTTAGCCTTGTATATTTCTACCTCAAGTGTTGTGTAGATCAGGTCTCATAAACACAGGCTTTTAAATGTATGTTATCCTGGTTTTGTAAAACAGATGTTGTATTATGTTTGACCAAATTTTATACAGGTGAAAGGGCTAGCACGGGTAAGAAGTTGTCAAACAATGTGCTGATATGACGGCCTGCTATAGCCTCTCTGAATCCTACACACTGCACTACCATCTTAATGATCTGTTAGGAGTGGTTTGAATTTCAAATTCCGAGTTTTGTATTGAAAGTATTTTTTTTAGTTTGGAGAAACCAATTTTAACTTTTAACAGGGGGGGGGGGGAACATGTCAATTTATTTTTTTGGAAATGGTCAAATTAGTTCTTTAAAAGAAGTGTCCAAAATAAATTTATTATCAGTTTTCCTATTTTTTTCAAACTGAAATCATTCAGCAATGAAGTTTCCTACAGATTACTGTCTCAGAATGTGTACATGTCCTATAGCTGTTTCCCTAGCAACAGCTTCTTATGTAAACAAATCTACAGCATTACACCTCCTATGTAAACAAAAACTGCAGCATACCTACTATTGAATTCCAACAGTTATTTGTCTTCTATTAACAGCATGACAAATACAATCCTCAATTTTACTGGAGAACAATGTAGATAATACTTAGTGCCAGGACAGCAAAGTAGTGCATGTCAATATTCTATAAAATCCTGTACATAATGAGCTATGTGGCATTCAAGTCTGAACACTCGGTGTCAAAAACAAGTATTCAAGTCTGAACACTCAATGTCAAAAACAACTGAACACTCAATGTCAAAAACAACAGAACACTTAATGTCAAAAACAACAGAACACTTAATGTCAAAAACAACAGAACATTCAATGTCAAAAACAACAGAACATTCAATGTCAAAAACAACAGAACACTCAATGTCAAAAACAACAGAACACTTAATGTCAAAAAAACAGAACACTAAATGTCAAAAACAACAGAACACTCAGTGTCAAAAACAACAGAACATTCAATGTCAAAAACAACTGAACACTCAGTGTCAAAAACAACAGAACACTCAGTGTCAAAAACAACAGAACACTTAATGTCAAAAACAACAACATTCAATGTCAAAAACAACAGAACATTCAATGTCAAAAACAACAGAACACTAAATGTCAAAAACAACAGAACACTCAGTGTCAAAAACAACAGAACACTCCATGGGAACCAGTAAATATTTAAGTTTAAATATTTAGTTCAATATGAACGGTTGAATATTTAAGTGTGAACACTGAAGTTGAACCGCTAAGTTAGGATAAATTAATCTTCTTTGTTTATTACAATGTCATGTTAAAAGAAAAATGCTATTAAACTTTTTTAAAGGAGCTTTGGTTCATTTATGTCAATCTATCCCTGCATAGTCAGTAGAAAAGCATGTTTTTACTCCGTCACCATGTATGTTTTGTTGATTGTAACTTTCCTTTTTTCCATTGATTGTTACTTATACTACACCCAAAGTGAAATCCAGTGATTTCTGTTTTCTGTTTTTATCAAAAATGCTGATGTATCTTATTACTGCATGACATCTTACCATTGTATATTTAACTGACTTAATACCAGATAGACAGACAGACAGACAGACAATCAGACAGACAGACAGACAGACAGACAGACAATCAGACAGACAGACAGACAGACGGACTCTTTAAAGAACTTTAGGATAACGAAATAGTTGTTCTCTTTTTCTATCAACAGAACTAAGTACAGGCTAATTATTTATGGACTGGATTGATCATAATAGCAATTTTAAATTTTCCTTTCTTTTATCACTAATTCAAATTATGTGTTACTATAAATATTATCTATATGTATTTCAACTTCCGACTTAAGATTAGATTTCACATTGTGTGGTTATTTTGTTGAGATGACACTTTGAATGTTTGGGGTATGTTGTGTGACTGGTTTGGTGTTTATTTCAGACCCAGGGCCCCATAACACCACACACGATAGTGGTTCTACCCAATACCAACGGCATGCTCCTGCTTCTGTGCTACAACAGTAAGTTCTCCGTATCTTCACGTTTATTCTTCGTTGCGATTCTTATTCTCACCTATCAAATGAAAATTGAAAAATGTGTTCTTGTTTGGTCCTGGTATATATTTCTGTAAAATGTAGAAACTTGTAAACGGTTATTTATGACAATGAGGTTAGTTTTCCACTTGATGAATCATCCGTTTAGGTTTGTTGAATGGTGTTTTGAACCCCTCATACTGTTGGCTCAACATGTAGAGAGACAGACAAGTAGAATGTTCAATGTCATCATTCATGTTTTTTATAATGCATACACTGAAGGCTTCTTGGAAAATTTGTCAGAAAAAGAGTTAAAAACAAACTTAAAAATATAAATATTTATATATCGGAGTTTAAGAGTTTGTCTTTGGTTATTTATAGATGAAGGAGTTTATGTAGACTCAAACGGCCGTGTCACGAAAAACGTAGTTCTGCAATGGGGGGAACTCCCCACCTCTGTGGGTAAGTATCTGACAGATTACACGTAGGGTGTGTCGACATAGTGGATCTCTTATAGTGAATATTGTAGGTAAGTATCTGACAGATTACACGTAGGATGTGTCGACATAGTGGATCTCTTATAGTGAATATTGTAGGTAAGTATCTGACAGATTACACGTATGATGTGTCGACATAGTGGATCTCTTATAGTGAATATTGTAGGTAAGTATCTGACAGATTACACGTATGATGTGTCGACATAGTGGATCTCTTATAGTGAATATTGTAGGTAAGTATCTGACAGATTACACGTATGATGTGTCGACATAGTGGATCTCTTATAGTGAATATTGTAGGTAAGTATCTGACAGATTACACGTATGATGTGTCGACATAGTGGATCTCTTATAGTGAATATTGTAGGTAAGTATCTGACAGATTACACGTATGATGTGTCGACATAGTGGATCTCTTATAGTGAATATTGTAGGTAAGTATCTGACAGATTACACGTATGATGTGTCGACATAGTGGATCTCTTATAGTGAATATTGTAGGTAAGTATCTGACAGATTACACGTATGATGTGTCGACATAGTGGATCTCTTATAGTGAATATTGTAGGTAAGTATCTGACAGATTACACGTATGATGTGTCGACATAGTGGATCTCTTATAGTGAATATTGTAGGTAAGTATCTGACAGATTACACGTATGATGTGTCGACATAGTGGATCTCTTATAGTGAATATTGTAGGTAAGTATCTGACAGATTACACGTATGATGTGTCGACATAGTGGATCTCTTATAGTGAATATTGTAGGTAAGTATCTGACAGATTACACGTATGATGTGTCGACATAGTGGATCTCTTATAGTGAATATTGTAGGTAAGTATCTGACAGATTACACGTATGATGTGTCGACATAGTGGATCTCTTATAGTGAATATTGTAGGTAAGTATCTGACAGATTACACGTATGATGTGTCGACATAGTGGATCTCTTATAGTGAATATTGTAGGTAAGTATCTGACAGATTACACGTATGATGTGTCGACATAGTGGATCTCTTATAGTGAATATTGTAGGTAAGTATCTGACAGATTACACGTATGATGTGTCGACATAGTGGATCTCTTATAGTGAATATTGTAGGTAAGTATCTGACAGATTACACGTATGATGTGTCGACATAGTGGATCTCTTATAGTGAATATTGTAGGTAAGTATCTGACAGATTACACGTATGATGTGTCGACATAGTGGATCTCTTATAGTGAATATTGTAGGTAAGTATCTGACAGATTACACGTATGATGTGTCGACATAGTGGATCTCTTATAGTGAATATTGTAGGTAAGTATCTGACAGATTACACGTATGATGTGTCGACATAGTGGATCTCTTATAGTGAATATTGTAGGTAAGTATCTGACAGATTACACGTATGATGTGTCGACATAGTGGATCTCTTATAGTGAATATTGTAGGTAAGTATCTGACAGATTACACGTATGATGTGTCGACATAGTGGATCTCTTATAGTGAATATTGTAGGTAAGTATCTGACAGATTACACGTATGATGTGTCGACATAGTGGATCTCTTATAGTGAATATTGTAGGTAAGTATCTGACAGATTACACGTATGATGTGTCGACATAGTGGATCTCTTATAGTGAATATTGTAGGTAAGTATCTGACAGATTACACGTATGATGTGTCGACATAGTGGATCTCTTATAGTGAATATTGTAGGTAAGTATCTGACAGATTACACGTATGATGTGTCGACATAGTGGATCTCTTATAGTGAATATTGTAGGTAAGTATCTGACAGATTACACGTATGATGTGTCGACATAGTGGATCTCTTATAGTGAATATTGTAGGTAAGTATCTGACAGATTACACGTATGATGTGTCGACATAGTGGATCTCTTATAGTGAATATTGTAGGTAAGTATCTGACAGATTACACGTATGATGTGTCGACATAGTGGATCTCTTATAGTGAATATTGTAGGTAAGTATCTGACAGATTACACGTATGATGTGTCGACATAGTGGATCTCTTATAGTGAATATTGTAGGTAAGTATCTGACAGATTACACGTATGATGTGTCGACATAGTGGATCTCTTATAGTGAATATTGTAGGTAAGTATCTGACAGATTACATGTATGATGTGTCGACATAGTGGATCTCTTATAAAGAATATCCATGTTAAAAATTCTTTATGTAAAGGGAGATAATCTAGTTTGACGGTCTGGAGAAAGATCACCCCATAATTCCTTTTCCCCATAAAATGCATGCAACCATTTCTTGAAATCGTCATATTTACCTTAAGAAATGTGTACTTTATGTGAAAATGTACAGTATTTTCTCTACATATGCTTTACATGTTGGTTGTGCTAATGTTGGTTGTGCTAATTGCTGTTGTTGTGTTCCAGCGTATATCAGTACCGGACAGGTGATGGGCTGGGGAAACAAGGCAATAGAAATCCGCGCGGCTGAGACGGGACACCTCGACGGAGTGTTTATGCATAAGAAAGCTCAGAAACTTAAATTCTTGTGTGAGAGAAATGACAAGGTACTTTGGATGGAATCATATGTGATTTCTGCAATTTGAACTGCTTTCAGTCGACATTTAATTAATATAAATGCTTACTGATGCCATTCTAGCATTCATATTGATTAAATACAAACCAGAACATGACAGATTCAGCTTCATGTTGAATTTTGACATGCAATACTTCTATAAACCATTTTAAAAACATTTCAATCTCAAGGAAATCAAAATTTATCGATCGAAATTCAGCATTTATTTCCAATGAGTGGATGTAATGTTTATATTTGTTCAATGAATAGAACAGACATCTTTTGTTTCCTGTTCGATGTTTATCACAGGAAATTGGATCGATAAAACAACTGTTTTAGCTTGTTTAACATCAGTATCATTTAAAAACAAAAAAAGAGAAATGGAACCAAAAATTACTAAGCTATTCAGGCGTTTTAATTTGGGCCTGTATATAAGTATTGGCCATTTTGTTTGGAAAAAATGGATTGTCGCACTGGCTAATTGTATCCTATGGTTTGTTGCAGGTGTTTTTCTCTTCTGTGCGGTCGGGGTCCTGCTGTCAAATCTACTTTATGACGTTAAGCAAGCCAGGTCTGGCTAACTGGTGACAACATCACAGACATTATCTCAGGGTCCATCCTTAAATTCTCATCTGCAGCTTTTAAAAAAAAAAAAATATCACAACTTTTTACACTGGTTCAGTATTTTATTTTGGGCAGAAAATATATCTTTCCTAATGCCACAGAAGCTGAAAACAAACCTGGTTGTCGTGGAAACTGCCTACTGTTTTATAAAGATGAGATGATGTTACCGTAGGAACCGTATGGTGACTGGTTGTCATGGATATTGATGTGGTTGCCATGGACACCTATACTATGGTTGAGTGATTGAGGTTGTTTCAGAGAAAATTGTGTAGATGGTTGACATGGAGACACTTCAAAAAAGCTATTTTTCGTGAGAATTGTAAATAACCCCATGTAAGTGTAGATATGTTGTACAGCTTTCAATTTCGCTGTTGCCATGGTGACTGACAATAAGTAAAGGACAATTATGTCATATCATGTTGTCATGGTAACAGAAGTTGTACAATGTGCTTTGTTATGCTCCTCAATAATGTCAGTCTGGATGAGCAGTGTGTACATGGAGGAATATACAGTGTCCCAGGAGTGACTCGGAGGAGGCCATACAGTGTCCCAGGAGTGACTCGGAGGAGGAATATACAGTGTCCCATGAGTGACTCGGAGGAGGAATATACAGTGTCCCAGGAGTGACTCAGAGGAGGAATATACAGTGTCCCAGGAGTGACTCTGAGGAGGAATATACAGTGTCCCAGGAGTGACTCATAGGAGGAATATACAGTGTCCCAGGAGAGACTCGAAGGAGGAATATACAGTGTCCCAGGAGTGACTCGGAGGAGGCCATACAGTGTCCCAGGAGTGACTTGGAGGACAAATAAAGACAATAGTGAAATGTGTTCACGGAGAATCGATGGATGTTGGACCTGTGTCACTGTATAAGAGACTGTTGTGATGGTGACAGATTCCCTATTCATTCACCACGTCACACATATAATGACACTGTGTTGTACAGCCTGTCTGTTTCGGCCGTTAATATGATGCTGTCTGTTTCGGCCGTTAATACGCTGCCTGCATTAAATCTTTTAGTTCAATAGCTGAGACAATGAAGATACAATAGACATGTATCACAGAAACAATGACAGAGTTTGAGCTACATTTATCATGTATCAACCGCCAATGCAGAAAACTTGTAGGGTGAGCCCCGATTGGTGGATAAGCCCGTTATCCTCACTGTTCATTAAAAGTGAAATATCGGTTGTCGGAAGATTTCTAGTGTATTTTTGGTGTAGTGCAAGAATTTAGTTGAATAGGCATTGTAAGCTTGGCAATTTCTAACTAACAACTCATATGCCTATTTTTCAATAATATGAAGACCATTGATATTTAGCTTGTGTTTATGGGTTTTCCTGTCATCTTGAAAAGAAAAGAACAAATATTCAGCTTACGACAGATGTTCCCTTCTATCCAAAGAAACATTGACAATCAATTAACGAAGAAGAAAATGAAATTAACATCTTCATTGTTCAGGATTAATGTTAAATCATGATAAGAAAATATTGCAATTACTTTGGTCTAATCAATGAAAGAAATTGTTTTTAACAAATGAATTCCGTTTTATTCAGAATGCCTGAAAACAAATGAGGTTTTCTTAACAGAGAAATTAATAACCAATTTTCCATCTAGCCTAACAGCCGTCTTCATCACACAGTATGTGTGAACACTATGGAATCAGTAGAAAAAATGTAGTAACATTCTTCATAATTTCGTTGTTTCACGAATGAAAAATATGTGTGAAATAATGAAAAGTTTTTTAAACGCATCTATCAAGTTATTTTTTAGTTGTCTCCCTTCTAAAGTAATCTTTTGTCGTGATTTATGCTGAGGTGGACTAACAACAAATTCCTCGGTTGTAATCATGCTTCTCTGTCTTGGTATTATTTTACTGATTATAATACTCAGTTGTAAATACACACCGTGTGTGTGTATGTTGTAAGCACTCTGCCAAGTTAACCCAGTGTCATATATATCCTACTGGCCTTGGTTGCCAGTGTTTGTGACAAAACCACCTAGTTTTATCGACATGTTTGTTTATTATTATTTCTTATGCAATCAGCCAAACTGCTTATATCTGTTGTAGTTTTCCTCTTCCATTGGTTCGTTGAAAACCTGTAGATAGAAAATATTATCATTTAGCTCTTTTAACCAAACACTCCATGTCCAAAGCACCATGCTTACCTATCTTTTGTCTAAATACAGGGTTTGAATGCTTGGAGTGGTAAAACCATTGCTTAGTGACAAAGGGAGGTAATCCTGGTCGTCATGGATACTGAATGTGGGCATTTAGAAATAAAATCTGACGTGAGAGGAAGTACTGTGTGCCAAAAATGATTTATGTATTGAAATATAAGCTTTTGTTTATCTGTTTGAAGGTATAGCACTTAACTTCAGTGTTTTTATTGTGTGTGTATTCAACGTAACAGTCTAAACTACGACCCCCTACTGCTGTAAGTAGCCGTCAACACTCTTATCTCGTGATAAAAGATTAAAATGATAATTCCCTCTACGACTGTTGAGTGTAAAGGTTTGAAATATTGGGTGTCTGAAATAGGAAGAATATTATATGCATGCTTGTCGGGTACCTGAAGTACACTTACACATTTTGCTGTTTTTTCGTTTCGGCTCAAGTTCCTAACGTTGCTTGCTTGGTTGATGTACAACATTTATTTGTAAATGACGTTGTATTTCGTGACATTTCTATGATCTCATGTTCATTTTGTCAGTTTTGTATTTAATCTGATGTTATAGCCGTGAATCATTTCTAATTCCTGAATTTATCCTTGTGTTGTGTAGGATTTATATGTAGAAGATAAGTGAAAAATATCTGTCATTTATGTTTGAATTTTATGTGAATATTTTAACAGATTTGCAAGTTTTACGCCTTACTATTTTAATTTAATAGTGCCAGGTAAGATTTTTTTAAATTAATAAAAGTATAAAAGAAATCTAGAGGTGAATTCGGAAAATCCTGATTATTTTATGAGCTATTCTGTAGAAAACATTTTGAAACCAAATTATAGACCAGGATACAGTTTCTTGGTAATTTAAATACTCTAGTCTGAATAAATTATTCTGCTTTCTATGATAAATGTTATTCATTTTTAATGCGATTGTTGAGTGAATAAATTGAATTTTTATAGTCAGGTGTAAAATTATTTTTATGATTTGAAAATACTCATTTGTAAGATATAACAGCACGATAAGGAAAATTGGAAGGTCTTTTAAATCCCACCGCGTGTTTGCGACTTGTAAACATTAGATTCATCCCCATGGAAACCCACAGAATACCGGCAGATTCTGTTACTATAAACACAAATCTTTGTCCCGGAGATTATAGTTGTAATAAGTTTTGTATTTTTGTAGTCAGATGAAGTTCTTGTAGTGTTTTCACTGGGTTAATCATGTGAAATGTTCCTGCAAATTGTCTTCATGACAAACTGCTAGATTGGCAAGTGTTATCATGTTGGGGTAATAGAGTGTAATAAAAACGATTATTTATTCATTATGACGTTCATTATCAGTGAACATTAGCTCATGATTTAATGTACATTTTCCTTTGTGTTTTCAAATTTAAAGAGGTCAGATCTGAAACTAGATTCTTTGTTTTCTAAATTTGATCTGGATAGATGGTGTTATTTGATAGTTACTAGTTCACAGAAGTGTCACGGCGGACAGTCTATACTCTGTATACTCTAACATAAATCCCCATCAATCAACATCTAAGATTCCATTACATTGAATTCCTAATCATGGTTATTTAATTGATATGGTAGTAAGATTGTTTTCTTCCTTTTTGTTTTTCCCTAATCATATTTTTTTTTAACTTTTTCTCTAAGCTGACTCTTACAAATACATTGAAGCTCATTAATTTGACGATCATCATCGTCGTTACAACAGGAGTTGCTTTTATCTTAATGAGATGAATTTTTAAAGAAGTCTCCCTTTTATATTTTAGGACAAAAACAACTGTGATATTTTTTATAGATGAAATGAAAGGAGAATTGATATCTTAATCATCGGTGACAATTGTTCATCAGTTGTAAAGAGAAAAGTTGTGTTTGTTATCAAATGGTTTTCTTAAAAATGTGTTAGGAATGACATGGATATACAATACAAAATGTTCCGATCAGGCCGTACCTTTTTATAAGATTAAAAAAAACCCACTTGAACAATGTTTTCACATTTCAATTCCTCTGCAAAAACTTGAAAATTGAATATATTTTTTAAAGTGTGCAATTAAGATGGGTTGCTGCTGTGTTTTCGGTATTTCTCAGCTTGACTGATATTCAGTCCCTGTTTCTATACATCAGTAAATAACATACAACACCCCATCAGTAAGGTAAATAACATACAACACCCCATCAGTAGGGTAAATAACATACAACACCCCATCAGTAGGGTAAATAACATACAACACCCCATCAGAAAGCGCTGTAAGCTAGCCAACAACAAATGGTTTCTGTGTGAAGGAAGAGGCTATTTCCAATTCCAAGGGTTTGCCGGTTTTCCTTGCCTCTACTTGCACATACATACATGCACAATTTTACATTTTTACTTATTTCCATTGATCTTCATAGACAGCGGTGGCCAAGTGGTTAAGGCGTCTGACATTCTGCTACCACTAGCCCTCCACCACTGGGTCACGAGTTCGAGGCCTACGTGGGGCAGTCGCCAGGTACTGGCCGTAGGTCGGTGTTTTTTCTCCTGGAAGTCCAGCTTTCCTCCACCACCAAAACCTGGCACGTCCTAAAATGACCATATCTGTTAATAGGACGTAAAACACAAACAGACCAAACCAAACCAATTCATAGGTATTATACCTGTGGTAATTGTGTAGGGCTAAATACAAGGAATTGTGCCGTTAAATAAGTCGGAAACTAATTTCAATTATTCTAGAATATATTTCTGGATAATTCGGAACTTCTCTGATAATGGAGAAGTAATGAAATGCTTTCTGTCTTTAAAAAGATGAAGTATTGCAGAAAACAGAAGGAACCTGAAGTTCAATTGTGTGGCTATATAAAGCATGTTGTTGCCATACATTTCTAAGTATATCTTCAGATCTTTTTGTAATTGTCGGCCTTTCTGGACATTAAGAAAAAGGGAGATTTCGTGGAAAAGCAGCAGGAACCAAGTATCATTGATGCTAGTTATGTATAGAAGTATCATTGATACTATGTATAGAAATATCATTGATGTTATGTATAGAAGTATCATAAGACACGTGAACTCTAACATTAGTTAAGGTTTTATTGGTCACTTACGGGGGATGCATAGTGTTGGATTTTAACATAGAAAATGTCATGTTATCCTAGTACAAGTCATACTTTAACAAATATCAAATCATTATTAATGTCTGCAAACCATTGTACAGAACATGTTTGGGTTGAGGTACAACTAAAGGTGGTTCAGTATTTATATAAACACACCAATGCAAAGTTGTAGTGTAATACTGTGTTAGTTTCGTGTTTCGTTTGGAGATGTGAATTCCACAGCAGTGTGGTGTATACTAAGACAAACATTTTATATTTATAGGGAACCCTATTTGTTTGTGTAACACGTATGACATGGTCTGTCTTTTCTGTTCGTGCCATGTATGTGGACGTCTTATAAGCTCATGCTTAATCCAAGTGCAATTTTTCTAAATAAATTGAGAGAAGAACACCTTCTATCATGCATTAAAATTGTATTTGTGTTGTGTTTGAAAATATTGGCTCTTATGTTTAACTGTATTACCAT